TTCCACTTTTAGGAAGTGAAGGGATAGGCCACATCCTCTGCAGTGGGAAGTCAGGAGGCACCAGACTTGGGAGTCCCTGGATGAGGTTAACGGGAGGACATGCCAGGAGTCTGCAGGGCCTGGTGCAGATGCTTCTGACATCTATGAAGTGGGGAGGGAGATGCCTTCACTCAGGAACTGGCCCTAGGCTCTGGTGCTGGGTGTGGAGCCAGAGAGTGGATTTTCCCCCTGTGCAAAGCACATGAATTGCTTCATGCCTTTGTTCTGTCTGGCTAGCAGTGAACACAGGCCTGCTGGTTGACCAGCTCTGGGTGGAACAAATAGGAAAGACCCATTTGTTTGAACCAATGTTTCTAGATCTCCTATGGGTGCAAAACTCTGGCCTATGGCCCCCAGGCGTTCCCAGCCCAGCAGTGGAGCTTGTGGGGACAGCTGTAGGAACTCCCAAAGGGGACATGTCTGACAGGTTAACAAGAAGTCTTCCTAGAAGGGGCTGTTGGGCAGGGTTTGCAGTTCAGAGGCTGAGGCCATAGTGATGGAGCTGGGGTTGGAGCAACATATCATAGCCCCGTGTGATTGGGAGAGCCAGGGGCTGCTGCACCAGAGAAATCTCTAGCAGGAAGCCTAGAGAAAACTCAGTCCACAAAGGGCAGTGATGTCAGCTGCCTCGTGCCCATTCCTCCTGCTCATTAACATCTCCAAGTGGCACAGCCACCCCAGGAGAATTCTTGGTGCCTTAGGGACAGAGCCTGGAAGCCATACTGGGCATACTGATGAGTAAATTTGCATGTTTTACGCACGCCTCCTCCTTTCCTGCTATAGCTGCCTTCCCTAGAGGTTTCTAGAAAGACAGGTCCCTACCTTCCCCTTCCGCAGTTCACAAGCATGCATGGGCTTGAGTGTAGTGGAAAGAAATGCCACAAGCGTTTTGCTGACTGCTGGCTCCTACACCGTCCACAGCGCGTGCAATTTCTAGACCCCACTGAGGCTGGAAAGACTGACTTCCAAAGCTTGCTGCCAGAGGCCACCCTGTTGGCTAAGAGGGAAGGCCCAGTGAGGCTCCCAGGTGGAGGGTCTCCTCTTTCAAATCTCTCTCTTGTGCCCCTTGCCACCAAGCCACCAGGGCCACCAAGGGACAGCTCTTTATGCAAACCCTTCCCAGCCCTGGCTAAAGTGTCCTGATACAGCGAGGAACTGGCCCTTCACTTCCTTGACCCTTGGTTCTTTCTGCCCTTGATGAAATAATTTAGGACACAGAGGCCATGCAGAAGTCTAGGCAGAATTTATTGAAAAGGAGATACAGAGAGAGTTATACCTTCATGTGGGAAAGTGACCAGTGCCATGAAGGCATGTGCCCCAGTGCGAGTTTGGATATCTTTTTATGCACACAAAAATTACTCCTGGGGTTTGGTGGTTATGGTGCTTATAGACATTTTACTCACAAGTTACTTTGGAATTGCAAAATGTCTTCCTGTTCCTTTTAGATGGCCAGTGTTTCCTCAGGGGCTTTAATCGTGTAAGAAACTTCCAAAAAGATAAGTTTTTAATTTAAACCAGGCCCCAGTTTAGGCAGGAGGATCTTTAAAGAACATTTTCTTTCCTGGTATCATGGGGCTGTAGGCTGTGACAGCCGGGAATGCTGTCTGCCTTGTTCTGGAATCAAGACGGCCAGATGTCAGAGGGAATGTGCACAGTGTATCCTTAAAATGTCCTCATGCTCCGTGGGTTTGCTTTGGGTCTGAGACCTAGCAAATGACTACCAATGCATTATACACTGGAGTCTGTTTCTTTACTTCACTATAACTGGCAAAGTATGCTATTTTGGACACCCCACCTTGTCCCTTAGGCCCACTTTCCTTGGGCCTCAGGACCCCCGTGACATGTACAGGGCACAGCCTGTTTGAATGCCCCCTCCTGTCCCTTCTAGGACAGCTCCGTCCTCCCAGTGCCTCACTGCAGCTGTTTCCTACCTACCGCGGGCTCAGCGTGGCAGAAATGGCACACGCAGGCCTGGCCCACTCTGCTGTCTCTGTGGCTGTTGTGAATGCCTGGAGCCGGGTGGTGGGAAGTGGAAAGGAGGTGGAGGGCAGCGGAGGGTCTTGTGCCAGGAACCTTAGGGTCACTAGGGGCACGGGACTTGCAATGTATGCAAAGCAGAGGACTAAATAAGGGCAGGCGAAGGCTGCAGAGGCTGATTTGCCTGCTCCCCAAGACGGTACACAGAGGTGGACATTGAGAGACCTGCACAGGCGAGACCAGGCACAAATCACTCTCTTGCCTTCACTTTATGCTGTTTCTAGAGCTGTTTTTTTTCAAGAAGTTGTTGAATGTCTTGAAACAGGAACTTGTACTATTCTTGTTATTTTCATCTCTGACCACAGTGGCGCCAAATGGATGGGGAGCGAGTGATGGATAGGTGTGAGTGTTTCCATCTCAGTCTCCTCACGTGTTCTGGGACTCTCCGCATGCCGTGCATGTGGCTCATGTCTGTCTGGGCTTCCATCCGCGGCTGGAGCGATTGCCTGCATGCTGGGGAGCCATGTGTCTCCATATCTGTGCAAGTCTGCATGTCAGGTTCACTTTCTGCAAGTACCTGAGGTCCACCTTGCACCCACCCTCTCCGCTGCTAGTTAGCCATCCCCCACAGGACAGCTGGGCTTTGAGGCTTCGGGGGCTCCTGAGGGGCTCCTAGGAGGGACATGCCGTCCCTGCCTGTCACTTCCTGCCTCATGCTCCATTTCCCGCTGCAGCTGCCTCTGTAGTTGTCATTTTCTGGCCCCACCTTGATGGGCCGGGGCTTGGAGCCAGCCTAGGGCAGGGTGGTATCTCACTGGGAGTGGGACCACACTGCTGCAGTGAGGAACCCTTGTGAGTTCAAGCCTTCCTCAACTCTGTAAACCAGGGTGGGCAGAAGCGTTAAACAGAGGAAGCTGAGGGCCCAGCTCACAGGGTCTGAGTGTTCAAAGTTCCTGCTGCAGCAGAGTTCGGTCTCTTAATGAGGCTAACTTTCCAGAAAGGCTGCTTAGCAAGAGGCTGTCAGTACTGCTGCAGAGGCTAATGAGGACTGGCTGGGCTGCGAGGAGCAGGTGCCTAAGGAGGTTAATAGTGGGGACCCACAGAGATGGCCTAATGACTCCAGTGGCATATCAAAGGCAGAGCTCTATGGGGCTGTGACCAGGAGTCTAGGTAAGGAGGGGACACGGGGCTGGGTCAGATCTGCTCAACTAGAGGCAGGACAGATTATAAACTGCTCAGTAAGCTCAGCGGCTTGGTGCTGTTCACAGTGTGGCCTCAGTAGGCCCGGCTGCCCACAGGGAGCGCTGGACCTGGACTCCTGCAGGCAACAGGACAGAGGAAGAGTGAGCTGAGAGCTGCACCTGAGGGACACTAGTGAGTGGCAGTGACTAATGCTGAGCTCTGCAGTGTCTGCTCTGATGAGTGCTGAGCACCTGCTCATTCTCTTCTGGCCCACAGACTTCTCTCCAGGTGGCCTTTTGCATTGAGCCATTTGCACTTCTGCGCTTTACAAAAGCATCATGCTCTGGGTGGGCAAAAGGACTCGTATGAGTTCTGTCCCCTTAGGGTACTCCGGCAGTTTCTCCTCTCTGGCAGAAGCCGTAGCCCACATCACAGTCTGGGATGCACTGTGGAGCTTTAACACCCTCCTGGCCCCCCCAACACAGCCTGATATGGAGGAGCTGGTGGTGAGACAGTGAATATGCAGCCACACAGTAGCAAACCTTATGCAGCTCTGAGCATTTTCTATTCATTTTTTTCCAGCCAAATGCAAAGCAGGCTTAAGTGGCCAGCTGACAGCATTTTTGATGATAGATTGCCATGCAGTTTGAAGCACACATCTCAGAAGCTGTAGAGAGAATTGAGTGACATTCCTACGGCCTCTACTTATTTATTTGAAAAGCCTTCTCAGCACGCAGAACTATAAAAAAAAAAAAAAAAGAAAAAAAAAAGAAAAAAATTCATTCTGAGTCCTGATTCATTCTTGCAGTAAAATTCATCCTTAAATTCATGAACCATTAAACTCCTATCCATTTCACGAGGGTGTGTTTTCAATTAAGTTTGTTTCTTTGGGTTTAATAATTATAAAAATTTTTAATATCTAATGAATTGCTGACTACGTTTTATAACAAAAATTATAATCTCCATGTAGAAGTCTTTTAAAAAGTTAAATCTTTCATCATAGAAAATTAAACATTTTAATTTCAGTCCATAAATTTATTTTGTGGCAGAGAAGTATGACAGGGCGAGCCACAAAAGACATTCAGTCAAAAAAGTGTGGTATGGCTCTAACATTCTGTAGGGTCAGTGAAATACAGAGACAGGTTGGAGAAAGGGACCCTGTAATGGTTCCACCTTTAAAGAGCTGGCTCTTGTGCTTTTCAGACAGATGACGCTGGGTATTAAACACCGGCCGTGTTTAGATTCCATGTGATGTATTATAAAGTATCGTGGCAGTTTTATTTTAAAATGTAAATATTTATCAAACGCTAGAAATCACATCCTTTGTACCTTGAAAACTTCATTCAGCTCCAAGTGAAGAATGTGCAGGATGGGATACATAATTTTTCAAGGTTTGTTCTTGTGGGGGTCCCTAGAGCAAAAGTGCTTCTTTCTGAATTCCAGTTACCTGCCTTGAGGGGGACTGGGATGGAAGGTAAATCAGAAACAGCCTGAGAGGTCTCTGTCCTTGCAGAGTCTGGGGCTTTGGCCACAAGGGCAGCCTTGCTCTGAGGGCTGAGCTTCCTCCATGCTGACTGAGTCAACTGCCTGGGGACAGGTTTCAACCTGAGATGGGACAAGGGACCTGCGGGCTCTCTGGGGATGACGACTCCAAACATACCACAGGCTAGACAGGAAGGTCTGACCAGCCAGGGCCAGTGTTCCCTGGGGAGAGGGGACATGGTTGTGTTCTGCAGACGCAGCCCCCATCTTCGACCCACACCACCCTTGAATCCTGGTCAGGTGACCTGTGGGGAGACAAATTCCGAGATGTGGTTTATTTCACAGATAGCATAGGGGAGGCTGAGACCCAGGTCAGTGAGGGGTTGGGGATTAGTTTTCATCACCAAATACACTATCTCTACCCCACTCCTTCCTCCTACCCCCACACTTGTGCTCCCCACTTTTTCTGTGCTGTGTATCTGGGTGGCCTAAGGGTGGCTTGGGTGGCTGCCTCTCCCCGCTGACCTGCCCTTTCCAAGTCCCCAATGTGAGTACTGGCCGGAGAAGAGGTCCCCAGGGAGGAGAGAGCATGCTGGCTGAAGCCCCAGGAGTGGGGTGGCCGGGGAGAGGGGAGAGACAGCCAGCCACGGATAGAGTGCAAGGGAGGCTTCTCCGGCTGACAGTCCCTAGAGTGAAGCCAGGTGGGTAACCCTTGACTTCCCAGCTGCAGGGGGCGCCCTGAGTGTGGAGGCAGAAAGCAGGAAGCAGGGCTAAACTGTCAAGGGGCCACGGGCACTGGGACCGGGGTCGTGAGCCCCGTGACTTGGGCAGGCCTTTTCTGTGGGCTTCAGCTTCTTCATCTGTGAGTGGGCTACAGTGAAGACCCATCAAGAGAGGCTTGCATGGGCAAGTGGATAAAGGCATCTGCCTGCTCTTCTCGGGAGCTCCCACGGCGATCCTCCCCTGCTTCTTGCGCGGAGACTTGACTTGCGGGCCGCAGCAGGCCCCACATCCCTCAGAGTACCCTTCCACTCAGTACCGCGTCTTTTCTGCCAGGCTGTAGGGCTGGTCTCTCCTCTCCCTGCTCCTTTGTCCCTGGGGCCGTGCAACAACGAGGGAGAAGGAGGACGGTGGGGAGCTGCCTCTGTGGTGGAGGAGTCCCGGGCAGGTGCGCGACCCGGGGCTCACACAGCAGCTGTCTGTTTGATGCTGTGGAAGCTGATCCTCGTGGGTGACGTGGGGATGGACATGGCCCGGGCCACCGGCACTCTGAGGGAGTGATGGTCCTGCCAGCGGTGCCACCTCTTCCTCACGGCTGAGCGCACCTGTGAGGACGGAGAGGCTCAGTCACCCCGGGCTGCCCCTCTCCCCCTGGGAGGTTGTTCAGTTCGCACACTGAGGTCTTCCCCTGACCCTGGTGCGCCCTCTCTGCAGCTTCTCTTGGGGACTGCCTTTCCCATCCCTCTGCAGAAGGCTGACCCCCACACACTGCTCCACACTGTCCTTGTGAATTTTCCAGTCTCCTCTGGGCACTCTGCCACCTCAAAGACAGCATCACGGGTGGGACTAGAGGCTTTATAAATCCACCCCTTTAGCCCTGCTCTCTCCATGCTGGAAGTGTGGTCCTCCTCTGGGAGGACCTCTCCCCCTACCCCATCCCTCCCACAGCATGCACTCCTGGGAGGGGAAGCTAAGGGCTCTATTCACTTCCTCACCTAGAGCTGTTCTCTGTGTTTACAATGGATCTCTGTAAAGTGGATCCATTTCTGCATCCTAGCCATTAATGTTCCAAAAACCTGCATTGTTGGCTTCAGAGCCTCCTCGCATCTCTATCTTCCAGCCAGCAGAGCTAATCTCTCTTGCTGGACTCGGCATCCAGGCCTAGCAGCAGACAGGGACCCTGCCTGCAACCTGTGTGGACGCACACCATTGCCCTGCGTAGTTGCTGGCCAAAGGGCTCTGCAGAGACACTGTTCCTCTGGGGTGCCTGGAAGCTCTCAGGCCCCAGGCTGTGTCTGTCCTTTGTTGCAGAGACCACTGAGGTCCTCACCCACCATCGGCTAGCAGTGTATCTCCCTGTACCCTCTGCGCCAGGATCCTTAATTGACCAGGCTTCACCTGCCTTGACCTGGAGCCCCCCACTCTCCCAGGTGTGTGCTCTTTTCCATGGTGAGGGAAGGTGCTGCACTGAGTCCATACAGACCTGCATGGCAGGCACCTCATCTCTTTCTGGAGACCGCTCTGGGGGACACCTTGAGGGCCTTGAGGTTTCCTCCTGTCACCACCTCTGCTCTGGCTTCTCTCTGCCCCAGCACCTGCAGTCTGGACACCCTGCTCACCTGCTGTCCCAGGCATGCAGGGGTGCTGGCCTGTTAGTTTTGGCCTTGTGGTGGGTCTTTTAATCTTACTCTAGGGCCTGCTGGAAGAGTCTTGTTCCCCTAAGGCTGGGCAGTTTCTCAGGCCTCCCTTCCCTCCTCCAGGGCGCAGCTGAGCCCCGCCAGGGACCAAGCGTTCCCAAATGGCTGGGGCCTGAGGACCCCTATAGCCCAGGCCACCCCGAGCACCCGGCAGCGTACCTCTCCATTGAAGAAGCAGTAGAAGACAGACACAAAGAAACCCTAGGAAGCAAGAAGGGAGGGGGGTCAAAGACAGAAAGGGGGTGAGCCCACACTGACCCATAACCCCGGATCAGAGCTGGATAGAGTTCAGCACTCATGGCCACCGTCCACAGGGTGCAGTTACACTAGGATCCTCTGAGTGAGGGCACCATGGTCCTTGCCTACTTCAGCCTAAAGCTGGGATCTCAGCCTATTCCATGTTTTATGCTCTGTCCCAGGGCAGTAAATAGGGTTGCAGCCACCTTGACTCCTCAGAAATGCTGGGATCTCTGAGCCCTGGGGTGGAAGTGACATCTGGGGCCAGACTGGGTTTGAGTGAGCATGTGTGCGAGCTTGTGTCTCAGTGTGTGTAACTATGTGTGTAACTGGCCTCAGGGATGCTCTCTGCACGGGCCTCACCTGGAAAGACTGCAAGAAGGAGTTGAAATAGATGAACACGATCTGCGACAGGTCATCTTCACCAGGGTTGACAAAGAAGAGCATGTAGGTGATGCCCAGCAGGGGCAGGAGGACCAGGGTAGCCTTCACCGCCTTCCTGGGGGGGCGAGAGGGCGATGACAGGTCTGAGCCTACACTGCAGGCAGACCCTTAGGGGCGGAAAAGGGGAACTCCAGTGCATTTCTTCTGGGAGCCCGAGTGAGCTCCCTGGGTGATGACTCACAGGGCTCTCTTTGGCGGCAGGGGGGCGGCCCAGATGACCGCTCGTTTCTCCCCTGCAGAGGACAAGGCACCCAGGGTTCATATACCTGTACTGGATTGTCTCGGATGTGGTGGATGCTCGTAATTTTGTCATGAGAATTCTGACAATGTTGAACAGAAACACAAAATTGATCTGGAAGAATACATAGGGAAGAAGGAAAGGCCTTGAGTGGGGGAGGAGATGAGAGGCAGCCCCCTCCCCCGGGACCCCCCTCCCAGACACACCTGTCACCCAGCACCTGCCCAGTTCCCTGCCTCTGCCTCTCCCCAGCCAGGACAGGGAGATGCCCCTTGTCTTCAGGGCCTGCCATGTACCTTCAGCCCCAAGGTGAGGGGGCGGTGAGAGCAAGAGACCGCTCTGGGGGACACCTTGAGGGCCTAGCCCCTGCCCTGAGCAGGGGGACTCAGGCCCCTCCTCTCTCTGTCACAGGGCTCCTCCCTTTTTGTTAGTGTATGTTCATGACATACTGTTACGTTCATCCTGAGAAACTGGTACATATACATATTGCATCACGGTTTTTTAGTCTTTTTGAGAAAGGGTCTCTGCAGTTCAGGCTGGCCTTGAGCTCACTATGTAGTCCAGACCGGTCTTGAACTCACAAAGAGCCTCCTGCCTCAGCCTCCTGAGTGCTGGGATTACAGGCGTGCGCCACCACGCCTGACATATATTGCATCTTGGTCATCTGTACTTCCCTGGGAGTCACCAGGGACTCTGGGAGGTCACCCCTGTTGTGGAAGGCTGGGGATCCATTTGAGGGGGTCAGCCACCGGTGATGAGGTGACTGACCAGTGTTGCAGATTTTCGGGTAAGTAAGGGAATGACACGGAGCATTTGATTTGTCCAGTGACAACTTTCAGAGTCTGCCCCCACCCTCGGCTCTGTTTTGGAGGAACTGGCTGTCTGGCTTTCGGTGGGCTCTCCCTGGCGCAGGGACAGTGGGTGCCCCTTGGGACAGCCAGCAGTATCCAGAAGAAGGCTCAGAACTTCTCAGCATCCTCCTTTGCCATGTGTGAGGCCTCTCAGCTGGCACTCTTGGGTCAGGAGACAGAGTAACATAGCATGGCTAATCAGCCTGTATTGTTACTCTTTCGTGTGAGACCAGGGAGGCTCCTTCTGAAAGGGGTGGTCTCACAGCTTCCCTTGGCTGGCAATACTTGAGATGCCCTGGTGCCTACTCCTCTGGTTCTGTTAGTCTTTTACACCCAGGGTGGGTCCAAATCTGATGGATTGAGCCAGGTGCCCACAGGGCTGCCAAACAGTCTCATCTGCACAGCGTGCCCTGGCCTTGATTGGGTGGTCAGCCTGCAGTCCGCTGACAGCCAGCTCCGTGGGGCCCTTCTTTGCTGCATGTGGTCCAGGGTGACAGGGGGTGTGTTCTGCCTGCCAAGCCCTGCCTCCTGGGCTCCCTCATGCACAGAGATGTACAAGCATTGCCTCGTTTAACACCCTCCACAGACCCCATGAAATAATATCGATCCATTTTATGGATCACAAGTCTGAGGCTTCAAAAAATAAAGTCATATGTGTATGTTATGGTTGATACATTGTGTCAACTTGAGGAGTCTAGAAGCTCAACTAAGTAACTCATGAGTTCTACATCCTGGGGTGAAAAGGTCATGCCCTTGCTGCTCTAGGATGCTGTTCATTGTGTCAACTTGAGAAGTTCAGAAGATTAACTATGTGACTCAGCAGGGAGCCAGGGTCCTCACTTTGTATTCATCCTGAGCCTGTGCAAGAGGAGGGCGCAGAGGTGGTGCGGGTGTGGGCAGACAGCCCACATACAATATAAGAAGGAAAAAGGCTTGCTCCCCCCACTTTTGCTCTTGCTGCTTTTGCTGTCTTGTGCCGCCTGGAAGTGTTGCCCCTGCTGCCTTGGAGCCAGCTGATTATAGACTGAAACTTCTACAAACTCTGAGCTAGATAAACCGTTCCTTCCTTAATTTTGGGTGTTGGATATTTTGTCTCGGCAATGAGAGAAATGTAACTAAGACAGTGTAGCTCATACCTATAAAGCTGAGTATCTTGGCTTGTAGGTATCAGATGGAATGATCAATGCCCCATCCCTGCATCACCTTCTGGTTAGGTCTGAACCAGGATGGAGGTGCAGGTGCACAGGAACCCATGGAAGAAACTGCATCAAGGTCTTAATTTGCAGCCTGAAAAGCCTGGAGACTGCACCATGCTGGGACCAAGGCAGGGGACCAGGGCCTTAACGGTGCACCCTGGGGTCTCGCACTCTCCCTGGCACAGGTTGGACTGACATCCTTTTAGCCCTGCCGCGGAGATACACTGGCCAGATGGAGTGATTAATAACTCTGTTGCTGAAGGAGTGATTAATCTCTCACCACCCATCCCACACCCAGGAGCTCCACAGCCTCTGGAGACACTCATGGGCGGGAAGATGAATGGGCAGCTGGAGGCTCGAGGGTTCTGGAAGGAGCTTGTTTATTTTCATTCTGAGCCTCCCCCAGCCTCTGATCCCCAACACACCAGTTGGCTCCTGAGTCAGCTTCCTGACTCATGTGGGCTTCTGTGGGCCTGGAGGGTCTGTTAGTCTGTTGGCCGGTCTCTGTGGCTGTGTGCTGCCCTACTGTACTGTGTACTGTGGGCCTGTGGGCCTGTTCCCTGTGCGTATGTGTGTCGATCTGGTACATGGATGGGCCTGTGTTTCTCTTCACCTGCTTCTGTGTGCAGGCAGACTGGAATGGGACTCTGTATTGGCCTGATCTCACAAGGGCACTCTTCTCAAAGTGCTCACAGGCAAGATGGAGACCCATATTAGTCCAGGGATGCCCGTAGGCTAATGTACACACACACAGACACACCTCCCACCCACACGCCCCTCCCAGTCTCTGTCTAGAAAATCCATTCATTCTGAAGCTGATCCTTCTAAGCCCTCCCAGGCTGGGAGTATAGGACACAGGCAGACATAGTGGGACTTCAACCCTGTAGCCTCTGGGTGACCCCCACCCCCGACTGGACGGTGGCTTAGGGACAAGAGCTCTAACATCACAGCTTGTGGCCTGCTGAGGACAGGGGCAGGGGTTGTGGGGTTGGGCAGAGCCTTTGATGAGGCTGCCCATGGCCTGCTGCCTTCTTTCTCATGAGTCACCTGACTTCTAGTTCCTGGGTTTCTGGTATATTCCTGATGATCATGGGGCACAAGTCACCTTAACACACAACTCAATCCTATGTAATACAAAGTACCTGGCCTTTTCTGACCCTTCCTGACTCTCAGTAAACTGTTGGAGTCAAATACATTCTCATCTTTGTCACATTTCCTTGCATCAAATATTATTCAATTCACTAGCCAATTCATTGAATTATCCACCCACACTTATCCATCTATTCTTCTACCCACCAAATAGTTCATTCAATTATTTACCCACTATTCCTTCCATCCATCCATCCATCCATCCATCCATCCATCCATCCATCCAGTCAACAGGTGGTCCTTAAGCACCCCTTTGATGTCAGTTCTTATACTTATGCTGAGCAGGATATCATCCCTCTCCTCACATCAGGCAGGCATTTATTGAGGATGCCCCTGGTCCAGCTCAGCCTGGGTCTGTGCAGCCCGAAAGGCATTCTTTCCTTTGAGGCTGTGTCCCAGCCTCCCCCTTTACAGTATCTACACTAGCTCATCACAGACACCTTCTTCTCTCTCTAGGAAGTTCTCTGATAACCCCAGCCCACGCCAAGCCCTTTGTTCTCCATTTGTAGACTCCCCCTTCCTTGCCCCCCAAACAAAACTGTCCCAGTTCTTTAGAGAGCATTGGCTCTTGTACCCTGACTTGGCTCAGCCTGGTTTCTAGCTTTATTTAATTATCCTTTCATCCAATGAATCAACTCACCACCTGCCAGGCTCTGCCCTGGGCATGGGAAAATGGACAGGCAGATATGGCCCCTGCTTGTGGAGGGTTTGTGGCCCAACTGGGGATGGGCAGGTGTGAGAAGGAGGAAGGACAAGTTTCTTAGGGTCCCAGAAAGGCCTGGAAAGATGGCACAAAAGGTGAGAACTGAAGATGAGGCCACGCTAGCAGATGATGGTGGGGAGTGCGCTCTAGGTAGTCAAGGGCCCAGGTGAAACCATCCTGATGTGAGAGGATCCCAGCCCCTGTGTGGTGGCCAGTGTGGCTCCAGTGATGCTCTGGGGGAGTGGGAAGGGTCAGGTCCAGGGAGAGAGGTGATACTGTCTGGGAACCAAACCAGGAAAATCCACCTCCTGCTGTGACATGCCTTCTCATCCCACCCACATGTGCTTAGCATGGACTCTGGGCCTGCTGCCCGGGAGGGTGCTGTGGTGCAGGTGAAGCCAGCGCCCTCATGAAGCTTCCTCTGAGCTCTTCTGCCTTGCACCAGCTGCCATCCCTGCTGACACTCTGACCTTGGTGGCTCAGCCCCAATGGCACTTTGATTCCTTGGGGAAAACAGCTTTGTTCTCGTGAGGTTCTGTGGGGGTGGGGCGTGGGCCTAGCCAGAGCATCAGGCCACTACGTGATCTTTTGACTGGGGGTCTGGAGATTTCAGACCCTACCCCCTGCATCAGGATGGGTCAGTGGAGGCCTCATGCTCACCTACGTGGACCCAGGGCTTACACCACTCCAGGAGCTGTTTCGCACACTGCATGACTATTCCTCGTGCAACCACTTTTACAAGCAGGTAGGATCCTTAATTCCATTTCACAGATGCACAAACTGAGGATCAGTAGGCTCTGTGACTTGCCCATACTACCGAGTTAACAGGGGATGATGTCAGGACTGTCAGTGAGGCAGCTGGCCATCAGCAGCCTTCTTCTAACCCCCATAGCACAGCTGCTTCTGCAGGGGTGAGGAAACATGGGCCAAGCAGAAGAAGCCAGTTCAGGATGGGTGGCTTTCAACTCAGTTCCCAGCTGAGGTCTGAGCTCGTGAGGTCCTGAGCCCATGGCAAGCAGCAGGTGTCCCCAGCCCACTGGTCCTCACGTGAGGCTGTGAGGCAGGGGTGGCAGCCCCGTGTTACAGGTGGGAAATTAAGCCACCAGGAGAGCAGAGTTCCCTCAGCATCACACTACAACCCGCAGGGGGCGCCACTCATCGCTCGTTCTATGATGCCCCACAGAGCACCCCTTGCCCACAGTCACCCAAGGCCCAGCTCCTAGGCTCTCACCCTCCACTACACGAGCCACCTGAAACCTGCTGGAAGGTGGGACACCTGCTAAGTGTCTGCACGGGGCCTCTGTACTGCCAGACGTTTCCTCACTGTTTATGGGTGTGCAGAGGCAGGGAGAGAGGGAAGCGATAAGGAAGGAAGAAAGGAGGGTAAAAGACGGAAGGAAGGAAGAAAAGAAGGAAGGAAGGAAAGGAGGGAGAGAGGTAGGGAAGAAAAGATGGAGGGAGGGAGGGAAGGAAAAGGAAGGCAGGCAGACCAGGTTCCTTGCGCATCTCTCCCTATGTGGCTTCCTACTGTCTTGAAGCCCCGGTCCCAGCCCTGAGCAAGTCCCCTGCTCTGCCATGTCCTGGCCTGGAGCTGGCCTCCCGAGGCTCTGCTCTGTCTCAGACCCTCTGCCCCACCTGGCCTCGCCTGCAGCTCCAGGGACGAGGACGTGAATTCACTCCAGGACTCCTGGGCAACACACCTACCTATCCCACACAGACAGCTAAACCTGCTGACTATTGCTAGGAAGCCCCTCAAGATGGAATGGGGGTGCCTGGCAGCCTGGTTACTAGTCTGCATCACAGCCTCTGGGAGACTGGTTCTCACTGGTCACCTCAGATTTTCCCTTCTAATGGCATTTTCTAGGGAGGCCTCAAAGACCCAAATCCTGAGGCCTGTTACATGCAGAACCCTGGCTGGACCACGGAGAAAGCCAGACAACACAACTCCCTGCCTGCAGCTCATCATGCTCAGGGCCCTGAGTGTGCACAGCAAGGCGTCTGGGTGCTGGTGACACGTGCAGATTCCTAGGGCCAAGCTGGGTCCCCAGATCCGCCTTTGGAACTGGGGCAGCTAAGATGTCACTGGGAGACATGCTGAATGAGGAGCCACCATCCCTGGAATGCAGAGCCCAGCCTTGCTCCACATAGACCTGATGTGCCACACCCTGCAGTACATGCGCAGCCTGGCGCCCCGGGCCTGTGTTGACATGTAGGTGACAGTGTCCAGCTGGAGGCTCTCTCTGGTGTCACAGGAGCTAGTTCTGAATGAGAACAGGGTGGCCTGGGATGCAGGAGTCTAGTGGCCTGGGGGCAACCCCATTGAGGAGGCATGGTGGGGTGGGGGTTAGCAAGTCAGCTTCCCCACCTTCAAAAGGACAATTCTAAGACCTGTGTACACGTTTCCTCAGGGTGGGCAGGTGAGATGGAGGCTGGACGTCCTGGTGCCAGCCTACTCATCACCTCCCCCTATCTAGGATTCTTCGCTGTGTTCCTCTCAAATGACTGGCACCAAGACTTGGTCTCCTGGTTCAAACTGTGACTGTTTCAATATGCATTTGTGTCACTTTAAGTAAGTCACTGAACCTCTCTTAGCTCTGCTTCCTCATCTGTCTGGTGGGAAGGAGCACAGAGCTTGCCTTGAGGGTTGGCACGTGGTCTCACACTCATGGAGGGCGCTAAGCCTCAGTCTGGCCTAAGGAGTGCCATATCCTTTTCCCATGACAACAGTCAGCGAGAAGCCAGGCTTCCGGCAAGCTCGGTCACTCTCCCGACTTCTCAGAACCCAGAAATAAGTGAGCGTCTCTTAGCAGCAAAAACAGCAGCAGAAACAGCTGCGGGGAGCAGGGGAGGCAGGCGTGCCAGCCCCGCCTCCACCCAAGAGGACAGCAAGCAGATGGCAGTGACAAGGCAAGAGGTCTGTCCTGAGCGCAGGACCACCAGCTATGGGGGTGAGCCTGGGCAAGCCCATTCATCTCTGTTTCTTCACCCGCAACCCCTCCTTCTGTGCCTCACAGACGGAGGACTGGCAGGGAAGTAGAGAGGGCTGGTGGAAGGTCTCAGCTTGGAAGCCGGAAGCCCCAGTTTGGGCAAATAGCTGGGTTCAAAGGGAAGGTGATCATGGAGCCAGAGGAGGGGGTGTCCTGAGGAAGCAGGGGGTGGAGACTCTTAGCATCCCTGCTCTTGTCCCCTTTTCTTGTTGCTTCCTCATGACTTTCCCCATATCTTTACAGCAGAGAACACTCATGCCTTATTGGGCCCCATTCAGGCCACCGTTTCTTGGCGGGGTCCCAGGCTCAGCTACATCCTTCTCCTGCTTCCATAGGCTCTGGTAGCTGGCAGGCAGGGAACAGATCTTATGGAGTTTCCATTCACACTGAGGGCCAGTGACTCAATGCAGCTGGGAGTCCAAGGACAGTCCTCCCCCACTCAGAGCTGCCTCAGGAGGGAGCGAAGCCCTGACGATGAATTTCAGGCAGTGGGTGAAACCCTTCCCAGTCATCATCTGCTCACATGGACCAAGGACACTCCCAAGATGGGACCCAGTGAATCCCAGAAGTCACAGAAAGGAGGAGGGCAAGGAAATAGAAGAGATAAACAGTAATTGTCTCCCTGGTAGACAAAAGCCAGCCCCATGAGGCACCTGCTGTGTGCACAGGAGGACTGGGCTCTCTCCCAGTTTCCCAGAAGGCGCTGTGGCCCTTTAAGGAAGCTGGTACATACTGGAGCCTGAAATTACCAAGCCTGAAATAAGGCTTACGTAAATGCCAATTTCTTGTGGGGCTTTTTTGTATGGTTTTTTTAAAAAAATGTATGATATATAATGGGTTCTTTTTGCAGAATGTAGCCTCTACTTAAATTATATCTTAATTAAAGCTCGTTGTGTTGTAAAGACGTGATGGCAGTTATACCTTAGATGCGAATACGCTCGGCAAAGGGCGGGGAGCTGGACAAGGAACAATTGCTCATTATGCTGCCTTCCTTCGGGAATCTGCTGCTCCAGGCTGGGGGTGGGGGGCGGGGCCCCAGAGGGGGTTGCTGGGGGCAGAGAGGAACAGAGGTCTGGGCTGAGCAGAAGCCCGCACACCCTCCTCTCTCCTCCAGCTGCCTGCTCACCAGGCCGCCTCAGCACTGTACCTGGCAAGGGTGCCTGGCACACATCAGACCAGGGAAGGCACTAGAAACCCACCTGTCAGACCCTTTCTCCATGCACAGAAAGAACCTGATGTCCAGAGAGGCACAGGGTACAGAGATAGGAGGGCAGAGCTGGGATGCTGGGAAGAGAGGCGGTGTGTGTAGGACATGGGGCAGCACCCAGAGTGGGTGTGGGGGCCTGCCCAGACCATGTCTTTGCAGTACCTCTGTTGTCCTGGTGGCCCAGCACCACCGCAACCCCCCAGAGGACCTACCAGGAGCACGAGGATGATGGGGCCTTGGTAGATGTAGTCCACCAGGTCACCGGGCTCTTTGCCAAACCAGCACCTGCCAAGACAGGGTGGCTGTGGGTGGACTGCTGAGCTGTGCTTGGGGAACTGCTCTCAAAATGGCACTAGTGTCCCTTTCTGAGCCCCATTCCCAGGGCTGCCTTCCCAGGATGCTACGGTGGGCAGCCCCAGGCCCCCTGGCCACCTTGGCTGGGCCCTGAGCTGTGCTTTCCTCCACATGATGGGTCTGGTTTCCCAGTAGGACTGAGGGCAGACCTGGGGGCTCCTCCTCAGCTCCCTGCCCCACTGCTGGGCAGGGCTGGGCATTCAGGAGGCACAGGGACAAAAGGAGAGCTGGGCTCCCTCGTACTGGCCCAGGGCCTAACTGCCACCTGTTCCCACACTGTTCGAACTTGCTGCTCTGTGTGCCAGGCACTGGGCTATACAAGGGAGCTTCCTCCAACCCGGGCCCTGTCTTCCAGTCTTTGAGCTGAGCTGCATACACCCAGTGAAGGGAGCCTGCTGCCTGGCTCACCTCACTGTCTGCCAGAAGTTGAGTTTCTTCTACAGGAATGCCAGCTGGGAAAGCGCTTTACTATCTAGAGGGAGGGTAGGGGCAAGTTTCAGTTTGGCTGTGCCAGAAACAAGTTTGGTAACTGTATCCTGCGTAGCCAGTGCACAGCAGCAGAAATCTCCCCTACTGCCTCCTAGCACCTAAGTTTCTGGTCTCTACTTGAATACTTCCTTTAACAGGAAGCTCACTACCTACCATGGCAGCCCTCCTCGTGTTGGGCTGCCCAACATTAGGGCTCCATTCTTGCCTTCACCCCTTAAATCCAGTCTGGTATCTCCAGCCCCTGCAACTCTTGGAGATCTTCACACAGAGACTTAGGTTCCCCAGTGCCCCTTCTCTCACCTTCTGGGACCTGACTTCTTGTTTGCTCTGAGGCTGACTGTGACTCAATATACCAGCCTCTGATGCAGGGAGCCCCCTGCGACAAGACACTGCCTCCAGGGAGACACTGGAATGTCCAAAAATAAGCTCTGGGTGGCTCTAGCCTCCACTACCATCTGGATGGAAAGGCTGAGAGCTCAGTCCTTTCCATGTATCTTTGGTCAGCCCTGCCACATCCAGCTCCAAGAAGGAGCACATTCCAGAGGCCACCAGGGTCCTGCACATGGCGTACCTAAAGAAATGACGATCTCTAATTGAATTCAACAGACAAAACTGCCTTAAGCCTTCCCATGTGAGTACTTCTGGGTGTGGGAATGTTCTGTCTGTCTAAGGACAACAGGAACAGAAGCCCGCCCAGGCCTGGCTAAGCTCCCACCCTGTGGCAGAGCCGGAGCCCAAATCTGGGGATCTGACCTGTCTAGATCCCACTGCCCTACTTACTGTTCATCTTCATAACAGAGTTTGCCAATGGCCCAGGCGACAATGATGGGGCAGGGGACACCTGAAAGAAGGACAGATACGAGCTGCAAAGGACAGACAGTGGGAAAGGGACCCTCTTGTAGGACTCAGAGGAGGGGACTACAGGAGGCCTTGGATTATGTTTCTGCTCTTCTAGCTGCAGCCCATCTGTGACCCCGGGGTGTCCAGTCCCCAGGCCTCTGGCTCTACTCTCAGCTGTCTTCCACATGCAGGGGATGGTGGTGTGATTTTTGAGAGTTCAGGACAGAGACAGAACCAGTCCTTTTCTCTTTAGATGCCAGAGGTATTGGCTGGGTGGCTGAGGCAGAGGAGGAGGGCTGTCTGTGGGAAATCCTCTAGGGGGCTTCTCAGCTCCTTCCTTGCCAGCGTGGAGGAAGTGGCTGCATCCTGGGGCTGTTCTGGGGAGGCAGTGAAGGCTGTGTCTCAGATCCAAGATGAAGGGAGAGGACTGTCTGTCGGACACCCCCCACGAGGCCCCTGGGACCCTCACACCATCCCACGAAGAGGAAGATCCACTTGCGCAGGCGCTCAGTGGAGTAGGTCATGACGATGGCCGTGTGCAGGTAGCAGCCCTCCACGAACATCCAGAAGAAGTTGGTGACCACGAAGTAGTTGAAGATGGTGGTGATGCAGCGACACCAGACCTGCACACAGGACAGGGTTGTCAGGAGCTTCTTGGGGCTCATGCAGGCCAGGTCCTCCCTAAGGGGTTTTGTGGACACAGCCTCCTACTTGGAGAGGTTCATCCCGCCCCAGCTCTTGCACTCTGGGATGGAGTTAAGGCACCATCCCCCTGACCCCAGTGGGCTTTAACTTCTCAAGAACACTGTGGAATTTCCTTTTTAAGAATGGGGAAGCTGGAGGCCGGGACTGAACAGTGTCGTTGGGTTCTCCTTGTCATGTCTGGAGTCACCTTCCATCCCTGGCAAGTCAGGCTGCTTTCCACAAGGGATGGAATATGAGCTTTCACCCAGACTCAACTGCAGCAAAGGGAGTGAAATGGTCACATGAGGGTGGGGTTCTCAGGGCCTCCGGGTGTGGGGATTCGGGATGTGTGGTGGGCAGCACTGGCTCTGGAGGGGGCATCACTAGCTCTGGGGCCTCCGGGAGGTTGCTGCCCTCTCTGAGTGCCTTGCTGGGCAGTGAAAGGAAAGGAAAGGTGGCACAGACAGGCACCAAGGATGTGCTATGCTGTGCTCAGGGCTGCTGCTTGGTCTGCCTCCCCAGCACAGAAGGATGTGTCCCTGTCCCCCTGAGCAAGGAGGCCCTGCTGAGCACCCGCTCTGGGAGACAGGAAATGGAACAGCCTGATCAGAGCCACGCAGAGCCAGGGTCCAGCTGCAGCCCTCCAGGCCTGAGCTTGCAACCACCCCCAGCATTGGTCTCCAGGGACTTTAGAGCCTCAGGAGGGTGAGGAGGCAGCCAGCTATGATGTGAGCCAGCTTGGGATCTGGGGAGTGCTGGGACACCCACATCGTCCCTGTCCAGCTCTGATGCCCTGGCCTGTGCTGAGCTGCCAGCTTCTCTGTGGCTTTGCCTCATAGCCCGAGCCCAGATCCTAGGTCCATATGGTCATCTGCCTCCTTGGTTCTAGAAGGTTCTGCTGAGGTGGGAGGCTAAAGGTCCCTCCTCCTAACTTTGCCTGTTCTCCAGGCTACACTGGGTCTCATTAACACAAGCCAGTACTGGGCCTGGAAGGCACTGGATGTTGGACCGTACTTGTTCGGCCCTGAGGCAGGGCCAGTTTAAGGGTCAGACCAGGCTGGCTATCTGCACAGGTTCAGGCCAACCTAAGAAAATGGACTGAGAATTCGCCAAGAAAACAGTGTGCTGAAGACCTGCACTGATCCCATTCTAGTCTACAGTTGACAATGATTTGGCCATAGCACAGTAGCAACTGACAAAGCTGCCCATCACAACACATCACATCAGTATGCCTTGTGATCTTGAAGAGTCCCTTAAACTCTCGGAGGCTCAGTTTCCATATCTGTGTAATGGGGACAATTTTCCCAACCTGTCTCATTGGCATGAAGTGAGATAAGGCTCAGCAGGAGTTAGTGCCAGCCCCCTTTCTTAAGGGACCTGACCCTACAGGATGGGGAAAGGCATAGGGTAAATTTATCTGCTCTCAGGTATAAGCAGCTGGGCCCTAGCCTCCCTGTCCCTGGGGGAACAATGCCTGGGTGGAGGCAAGCTTAAGTCTGGTTTGCACATGAGGATCAAGCAGACAGCCCCCCTGCCCCCGCCCAGCGCCCCCACCCAGCACCCCTGGCCCGGCCCGGCCTAACCCAAGCATCCCCAAATGGTGACCTCGTTGCTCTCGTGCACTTCGTGGTCAATGAGCTGCAGCAGGAACCACATGACATTTCGCAGGATGAAGGTGGTGACAAGGTTCCAGTGGATCACGTTCCGCAGGCAGCGGATGCTCCTGGGGGAGGCCAGGTGAACCCAGGTCAGCCGGGACAGGTCCCCCAGGGTCAGAGCTCCTACATGGCTGGGGTTAGGGACCAGGTGGGTTAGGGATCAGGTGGGTTAGAGGCTAGGCAGAGACTCAGCCTAGGGTGGAGGGGTGCTGCATGGTGGCCATGGTTGGGCCTGCTTCACACCTATGTGCCTGCTGACGACCAGTGTCTGGGCCCCTGTCCCAACCCTCTCTGTCTACCGGTCCTAGGTCCTTAGGGGAGGGGGAATGCCGGGGAGAGATGGGAACGAGGAGAGGGCAGGGCAGGAGCAGACTCACCGCAAGGCCAGGAAAAGCAGGAAGGCGGCCACCAGGGCCACCATGGAAACACAGTGGCCCAGGTAGTTGACCACAAGGGCAATGCGGTAGTGCAGGTCATACTTCCTCTGCTGGACAGATAACAAACATCGCAGATGGAGGCACGGGTACATAGCACCAGACTGGGCCCTCCAGCCATGGCCATCCCCGTGTGTCTTAACTCTGGGGGCCAAAAGAGGCTTTATGTGTCCCTCTGTCCCCACACCTCGCCCCTAGAACCTGTTCTAGGGGGCCCTGGTGGCTCTAGTTATAAATGGCCATGGTCAGCTGTCCCAATATGCATTTGGGAGGTACACTTGGATATAGTCTACTCAGAGATATCCCAGAGATACAGGCACAGATTTGGAAAAAAAAAAAAAAAGAAATCTAGACTCTGCAATGCTATATCTGCCTGCTCGCACCTGAGCAGGCTGAGCAACCAAGGCCGAGGCTGAGCTGGGTCTCAGTTTTGACATCTGTAGAGTGGGGCCAACCTGCCCTCCTGCCTGAGGAGCAGTGACGGGAGGAAGTCTGGGGTGCACTGAGATCGGTCTGCCCCGGTGCAGCTAGAAGGCGCCTGACTGCCAAACACGGAGGAATGCTACTCAGACCAAGTAGGTCAGTTCACTTTTCATTACCACCAAGTGCTGCCTACTCTAAACAAAGTGATAAAAGAGTCCAGCTGCAGAGAAAGCAGGAGCAGGCCCCACTTCCCACGGGGAGAGCCCCTGGGGGTGCACTTGTTTCCAAACAGAGTCACAGACTCCGCGTGCCAGATGGGGAAACTGAGGCTCAGCAGCATGCAGCCTTTAGGTGTCAGGGAGCGCGGGTCCCATGGTCATTCCCTTGTCCTCCATCAGCTCAAGCTGTCCTGGTGGTGGAAGTGCGTGCCCTCCTTCCTGACTCCCAACCTCAGCGTCGGGGGCAGAGGGGCAGGGCGGGAAGTGCAAAAGGAATGTCTGGGTGACACAAGGACGGACTCTGTCACCCTTGGGATCCTCTGTGCGCTACCTGAATCCCAACACCTGTGTGAAGACAAGGGTTGGGGCAGGTGGGGCTACTCACCTTGTCATCCAAAATGGGCTCACACTGTGAGTAGTTGATCTTTGAGGCCCACGTCCCATTCTCTAAGCATTCTCGGTAGGCATTCCCTACAGAAGATGCCAACCACCAAGAGTCAGGTCACTCCCCTCCTCAAGAACCCTCTCTGGCTCCCTGGTACCTACAGGATAAGGTCCACATTCCTTAGCTTCCCTGAGCCCAGAAACACAATGCATGTCTGAGAGTTTATGTGAAAGTCATTGATGTGAAATTTGCTAAAGAATATGTTCCCACCTATTTTACACACAATCTTCGATTAGCTCTTTGCATACTTTCTTTCATTTTATTTTGTGCTGCAAAGCCAAGTCCAACTGTGAAGACTGGGGCGTGGCTAAAGATTTGCTGGTTTTCAGCACAATGAAGAATCGCCATTCTTGCCTTAATCATTTTAGGGTTATGTGCCCTGCACTTCTTTTCACCAGTATCAGCAGCTGCATTTTTATAACAACTACCATCTGTGCACATGTGTCTCCATGTACCAGGCCTTCTTCCTGCACACGGTCCTTACAAAGTGGCTGCTGGCAGGGCATTAACTCATCTTTCCAAGGAGGAAACCAAGGCAAAAAATGTTAAGCTACTTGCCAAGTATGCAAAGATGACAAGAGGACTACAGCCTAGCAGGTCTGGCTCCTGCTCTTATGTTCTTGACCTTTAGGCTACCAAGTTGCGGCAAAAGGCAACGAGGGAAAGTTGGCGACACGGGACTGTGTGCCTGCCTGGGAGCTCCCACTGCCAGGGAGACCATGCGATGTCTTTAGCTATTTGAGAGCCAATATCTGTATCAAACTGGCAATGTGACATGTGAGCAGGCACTTTGGAGCAGCGGTGGCTGGAGTGCCAAAGCACAGGTTTCATCACAGGGAACGTGGGAAGGTTGAGCAATGTGCACGCTTGCCTTTCTTTCCATCCTAGCTCTTACTGTGAAGGTGGAGCTCCGCGGCCACCCCCTGCAGATAGCCCACCCTCAGCCTCCACTGGGAGGTCCCTCCCATGGAGAAGGGGGCCTGGCTCTGCAGGCCTTCCGCCTCCCCAGCTCGATTATGCATTCAGAGTGATCCACTGTTGGGGTGTTTTGGGCCAAGGTTCTGCCCTCTAGCTAGTGGGCAGCTGCTACGAGCTTCTTCTTGGCTTGTGTTAGATATACAATGTAAGGCTAATTAAAACAAATCTCTCACAGAGCACAGAGTCACAGAGCTGGAGGGGGACCTTAGATTGTTTTTGGAAGCAGTGAGTTCTAAAATAATTAAGTTATTTAAAAATCCACTTCCGCTGAGCTGACGATGAGTGAAAAGCAATGGAATCATGGAGGAACACTTGGCAAAGAGCAAAAACAATGGGAGAGATTCTATTAGATTAATTATTCTTTAATTTGGTGCTCTGAGCACATAAATTTTTCAAGTTCAGAGTTGGTAGTGGCCTAGCCTTGCCTCCAGGGCCTGGCAGTGCAAGGCATGGCATCTGGCTGGGTCCAGGGAGACTGTTGGGGGCTTCCTGGTCTCACACTGATTCTAATCCTTAAAAACAGAGCAGTTCCTTGTCTCTACCCCTCCACCTGACTTTCCAGGTGGGCTTTGAGCATCTAAAGCCTGGGACTGTCTTCCTCAGTGACACTGGAGCCCCTGAGAGGGAGGAGCTACTGCAACACATAAGACCAATGACATCACAGTGAAGGTGTCTTGGAAGGACAGATCCTTTTGCAAAATGCACAGTCTCTTTCTAGTGTGGCCTTAAAGTCCCTCTGAACAGGTCTGTATGGTGTGAGATACACCCCACTCCTGGCTGGGGCTCAAAGGCAGAAAACATTACCTTCTTGATAAATATTTATAGGTGTTAACCAGTTGTCCTCAAGTTCTGTGCTAGGCTACTTCCTCCAGGAAGGCCTCTCTGATTGTTCCTACTCCACTGCTCTCTTGTTCTTTCCTGAGCACCCTTAGTCCTAATGACTGGAGCCCTGCATTCCAGCCCTTGCCTGCAGCCAGCCTTGAGGAGGCCATTGGGGTGAGTCTGCTATTGCTGATAAGGTGGGGGCTCCCTGAGATCAGAGTTCAGCATACTTACTTCCCAAGTGTGAGATCTCATGGTGGCTTTGTCCACAGGGTGCATTTGTGGATGAGAGTGGTCTGGATGGAGATGCTGTTATGGGGTCCTTTTCTGTCCTCACACTGATCCTTCAGAGGTCCCAAATTCTGTGCATTCTGTCTCCTCCTTTCCTTTTTCTGGAATCTGCTCCCTCTGTCTGCCCACCCAACAGTCCTCTCTCTGGTCCTCTTTCCTGGATTGGCACAACATCCTCCTTTCTTGCCTCTCTACTTCTATCCCTCAACCATGCTTTTTCCTGCTTAAATGTCACCAGTGCTTTTTTATTGTTCTTGAAAATAGAGTCCAACTTCTCAGCTTGGTACCAAGGCCCTGCATGCCCGGTGCCCTGTCCACCACTCCACATCCAGCTGAGATTTGCACCAACAGACCTGGAACATACCTGGCCCATCCTTGAAGCATCTTCCTCACACTCGCTTGCTGTTCACAGATAAACTCCTACCTATCTTTTATACCCCAGCTCAGATCCCACCTCCTCTATGGGCCTTTGCCCAGCACTGCAGATCTGAAGCAATTCTTTTTGTTCCTATAAGAACTCCCTTCTTCTACCTATTTCCATATTTTAGAACACAGGCCTTCACACTTCATTGATCTTGAACTACAGTAACACATTTTTGCATTACACTTCAGCACACATCCCTCCCCATTTGAATCCAGTTTCATAAAGCAAAATTTATCTTGACAACAGCTATAATGTTTTCTTCTCTATGCTGTTCTAACATATTCTATTCATTTCATATACAAATGCTGGTCATGACCCACTGAATTGATTTCACAGTCCACTATTATCCCACAGTCCACAGTCTGAAAAGCAAAAATGTATGTTAGAGCACTTGCCATAATTCATTATGGAGTTTATCCTTTTGGACCTAATCCTTTCCACTGCACTTGAGCTCCCTGGGGACAGAGTAGGCAGAGATCAGACTGGACCCCTGAGCCCCTGCTCAAGAGCTAGCCAATGAGTCTATGTGGGCTGTATCGAACTCACTTAGATCTGCTGCGCTGTGAGCAGCACAGTGTGTGATGTGGGACATGGGAATAGGAGGAGTGTCCCTCTGGGGGCTCAGTGCTATCTGCGGATGAGGCACTGGAGAACTCAAAGAGACAAGTGTGTGTCCTTTGAGGGGGAAGTCTAGTGCTGCTAATGAAGGTGCCAAGGCCTCAGGCACAGCTTTGGACAGAAGTGAGCAAGGGCCCCAGAACCACAGGAGGATGGGCATGGAAATGCTGAGGGAAGGTGGCCGGGCCAGAACTGCAGGGCTGAATGTAGTGAGGTAGGTGCCCGTTACCACAGCAACACAGGCGCCCCAGACGAGGATCGATGCCAATAGTGTGCAGAGTGGCCTGCTGGGGGCATTAGGGTCTGTTTGATGCAGGCAGCGTCTTTTTTTGCAAAGCTCTGTGGTTTAGGAAGCCTGGTCCCTGTCTCCAGAGTGGCCCTACTGTGTGGCAAGCCCCTGAAGAACGATAGTTCTTCACTCAGACACCAATGTTTCTGGTTCAGGCAGTCATTTGGAGTTGTTCAGACCTTGGCTTGGAGATGGGAGCCTATAATCTAGCCATGATTTTGTCTGTGGCTGGCTAGGTGACCATGGGTAAGTACCTTACCTCTTGGTCTCAGTGCTCCTGCTAAGAAAAAAAAAATGTAAGTTGGCTCCCAATGGAGCTACTGGCATCACAGGAGAGCCAATCATTTCACGCCCAATTTACCAAATTCCAAGCCATTGTGACAACTCCAGGCATACCTACATTACTTTCAAATTCTCTCTACACTGGTACCTCGATTTCTGATGATCTTACTGGCAAGGCATGGACCATGGGAAATAGAGCCTGTGAAGGACCATTTCTGGTTATAGGTATGAGAGAAAAAGACCAAGTGGCAGATTGGCAGGAGAGAGAGTAAGTGAGGCTGTGTTGGTGGTGGGGCAGCAATATGGTTATTTGATATCTGGCAAGAAAATGACGAAGATGATGGCAGAGAGGTAGGGAGCAATGTTTACTGAAGGAATGGCCGGTACACAGGCTCAGAACTTTCAGCACCACGGACAGCAAACGCTCTATCGCTCTGTCCTTCACCACCTCCAGCGCTCACTATCACCTTGGAGAGCTCCTGAGAATTTGCCCTCCCACTTTGTAGCCACATCACTGCCCTGTGCCCAATTCGAAGAAATCAAGCTAATTCATATCTCTCTTAAGATTCAAATCAGCTCCAGTTCTTCCAGTGGTTTCCATGATGGCTTAAGCTGCCCTGAGGGTCCACCTGCTCACTTCTTGGCTCAAGGTGGGCTGGGATTGTTCTCTTGTTGACTCCTGTGAAGAAGCCATGCTTTCCCATCCAGCCTGGAGGCGTCTTGGAGTATGAATTTACCTTCTTCTGAGATTCCCTAAGGGGTGCCTTCCCTCCTTCTTCCTTAAGCACTGCACAGGGCTTAGCATGCATGGCCCTCAGGATGGATCAAGGCTGATACTGTTGCTTAGGTTACTGGGGAAGTCAATGAGGGCAAAATGCTCGGTGCAGACCAAGAGGGCAGTATGCCACTTCAGATGCCCAGGCTCCACCAAGATGCATGGCAAAGACAAAACAGTCAAACATATGAACAGGAAGCATCCAGGTCTCTCTCATACACCCTGCTGCTAAGCCAACCCTGCTGCCAAAACCTCAGCCACTGCAGTCCAACCCACACTGAGGAGAGGGTCTGTCTCAAACAGAAAGTCTGAGGACAGCATCCACAGATTCCAGGCCCCATCGGCACTTGGGAGGGTTAGGCGGGAGGATTGCAATGAGTTCAAGGCTGGCCTGGGACAGAGAGTTAGTTTAAGGCCAGTTTGAACTACAGAGTGCATTCTTGTCTCAAAAACAAACAAAACAAAATAACCCCACAGATACCAAAATCTTGGTTATTAAAGAAAGCACCTTGGAAACAGAATTAGTGGGTGTCTCTTTAGGAATTTA